TTCAAGAGAAGGGCTTTTAGAGACAGAAGCACAAAAAAGTATGATATTTCACCCACAAAAACGGGAAAAAAAAACCCCCAAAAAAAAAAAAAAAAATAGGGAAGAGAAAAAAGACCTTGAGCCATTATCCCCAAGTCCATGTAGCCAGACTATTGTGGCTTGATGCTTTCCTTTGGGCCTCACCACATGTGTCCTACCGAACTCAAGTGTTCTTTTGGCAGTTCTGCTACCTGAATTGTCACAAAAAGTGGCTACTCAGCAACGATACAAGTTTAAGCTGGAACAATTAATCAGGGATTCTGCAAGTTAACCATAATAACTCTTTTTCCCCTCTCTTTTGTCTAGGATGTCAACCGAGAAAATCGCCACTTATTCACTAGTAGCAATCATTAGTAAGAACAAAACACTTTAAAAGTTAAAAAGACAAAGAACATCAGACACTAAGTTGCCTAATTGAAGGAAATATAGTAAACAACTAACCACACTCTCACAGCAGTCAGAAAGAGTTCCAGAAACTAATAGCTATAGACTTAAACAAATTGAGACAATGAAAGGTGCTATGCTAGGGAAGAAACAAACCAGAACACATATTGGAATGGGAATAGCTCATCTTTGCGTTTCAGGTAACTGTGCTAAACAGCCCGCCTATTGCAATGAGTTAGAAGAAGGTACTGCAATGTAGAAAACCCAGAATGATAATGTGTATTTATAGGCAAATGGGCAGTGAGAAAATGGAATAAAACATGTGTGAATATGCATCACTATGAATGAGAAGGTGTGCATACCAGCTACACACTGCGCCAAAAACCGCCTAGAAAGTTAAAAAGAAAGAAGCATCAATGAAAAGGAGAGGTAATGAAAAGGACAAAAGCAGGATAGCAGAGAGAATCCAAGCCAGAGTAGGGCACATTCATCCATTCCTTAGAGCTCTTGCAACATAGACAGACAGATAGAGAAAGAAAGAGAGATGGGGAGAAAGAATCTATGCTTGCGGACAGTGGCCAGAAAATAAAGCAAACCCAGCAGCAACAACAAAAACTGAAAAGAATATTACTGAAAACAAGAAAGAATAATCTAAGTTTGTAAAAGAAAATATCTTTTCTCAATCATTAGTTAATGAATTTTTCATGATTGATGGATACCCATTAACCAGAAGGAAAGTTTATAGCGTCCAATTTCTTTTTTGTATTACATTCTAGTGTATAATTTCTCTTTATGATAAACAAGTGAAAAATCTCAACTGTAGAAAAAGAACCAAGAAACTGAAGCAGGGTCCGAGAACTGAGAGAACTGGGTTCCAGCCTCCAGGTTCTCTCTCTCTCACTTCTGTTTTCCTTTTTTAAAGCTTAAATTTATAATTGTACATACATATATTGATACAAAGACATATATAATATACTTTAATAACTTATATTTTCAAAAAGATTTTTTGTGCATAGATCACCAACCTGGATTTGTTATATGGAAGAGAGAGACAACGGCAAAAGTGTGTGAACTTTTTTCTTTCCTTGCATCTCCTTTCTTACTTTCTTGCTCCCCACTACAAAAACCGCCCTACCTTTCGAAAGCTTTGTCTGTTTATATTCGTAGAGACGCCAACACCTTAGACCTCTTTACCAGCAAATTTCTATATGCGCCCAGTATCCTTTTTTTTTTTTTGGTTGAACATAAGTTTAGCAGGAGATTGAATACTATCACCATTAGCGTCAGGGTATACCTACAACCTCAAGCCGAAATGACTTACGCGTGACACCCAACCACCAGCTGCCACTAGTATGAATTTAAGTAGGAAATTATAGATCGCGCATTAATGAAGATTGCTGGTAGCCAAACTCGAACATTGGTGGGCTACGCACAATGGAGGGACCTTACTAACTGAACAAACCCTCATTGGTATTTACACCCAGCATCTTTATGAGTTCACCTTAGTATTTTTATTTTATTTTATTTTATTTTTATAAAAAAAAAATTCTGGGATTTGTATTCATAATTCAACCAAAAAAAGCCACTACCCACAAAGGGTCATTATAATAACGATCTAACATCAAAATTAAGACAATCTGATGCGCCTCCACTAACGATCACGCAGAATCAAAGAAAATCTGGCAAAGGCATTCCAACTAAGATTGCAAACTCAGAATAATCAAAAAGAGATAAATCTTTAAAAAATTAAGCCATAAAAATACATAAACTCTCGCAAATGAGAGATGAAAAACTCTCACAAAAGGAGAGGTAAAAACTATATAAAGAACCCAAAGAAGCTCTACGACTTATTCCAAACATAAAGAGTCACTTCAGTGTTTAAATTTTTTTTTTTCCATCCAATCTTAGTGTGAACCAAATAATTAGTTTTTTTATTATTTTTTTATTTTATAAACAACATGTATCTCATCACATGTTCCAATAGTGGCGCAACGGGTGGGCGGTGAAGATACGGTGGGGGTATGGTGGCTTGGTCATGTTGTGTTTTCTGAGAAATAATTAGAATTTTAATTAGAAAGTGAAATGTACTTAGAATATAGGGTGTACTTAGAATACGGAGTGAACACAAATATTGAGTTTACATAAATAAATAAATAAATAAAACTCTTAACAAATAAACATTTGTAGGAAAACTAGGGTTAACCATGAAACAGATGTTAAGAAGCAATTACCAAACAAATTTTGAATTTGGGACTTTACCCAATTGAGTATTTGCTAAATCCATTAATAAGTAATTGACAGACAATGCTACACTTAACTTTTGTTGTTCTCAACTAATATATGTGCCACCTTATTGGGATCTATAACATGTTAGTTCTTTAATGTAATAATGTACACAAAAGTTGGAGCAAAATTTGGGGTAGGAAGCATTTTCCCTGAGTCATGACTAAATGGTGATACAAAGATTTTCCTAAAGTTGAGATCATTTCAATGTATTTTGTAATAATTTTTATGCTTACTTTTAATATGGGATACAAAATAGGTTCAATATAGTTGGAATTAAAATATATTTTAGTCCTACTTTAACTTCAAATGCTGTCATCCATTTACACAAGTTTTATTTTATTTTATTTTATTTAAACAACTATTATCCAAATTATTTTGTGGATGTCACTCAAAAAAAGTGGAAGAGGAATAAATACTGTTCTGAATGGGATAAATTTTGATAAGAAGCAGCACCAATTATTTACTAAGAGGCTCCATAGCCAATAGATTAGGGTTCAATCAAGGCCCATTGTGCACCACTATGTTTGGCTACACCTATAAGATGCAGCCTTCATGCAACATGGTAGTGTGCAACCAGGTTCCTTCCACTTGGTCTCTTCTTTTTTATCTTTTCTTTCTTTACCATTGTGGAAAATTTTCTGCCAATTTGACTCTCATCCCCTTTTTAATTATTTTTATTTTCCTTTTATGGTGTAATGGAGATTACAATACACAAGATATACCAACTCTTTTTTTTAACTATTATCTTAACTCTGATGATTTCAGATTCATAAAATTATGTACTCGTGTAGAACCCACTCCATATAAGAGTTGGACTGAGAGTCGAAATTTACTTGTGCGTATACTATTACTCCATCCATAGATTATAATAATAACTAAAACAATTTAGGTCCTACCTAAACTAATAGTGACATGAAATTATTGATAATTGTATATGTCAGAATCAAATTTACACCCATCAATTTTTTCTAAAATTATTATTGGCAGTCTAAAAATATTATCCTACACTCATCTCTTATAAAGTATAGTCCGAAGTTACACTAGTAGGAGTGTATGATGGCTTTTCTAAAGTACCAATAATAGTTTGTTTTTAACTATTGTTATTTTTCGATCAACAATTATCGTTATGAGATTTGAATTCGACATCTTTCAACAAAGTAGAAACTGAGTACTAGTAAACCAAATGATCATTGACATATTCATCTACTATTCAATTATCAGCGAACGTCTCATATCTCAAAGAGATTGACTAAACATCATTGGAAATACTACTAACACGACAAATTGTAGTAAATGATGGCATCTAATCTCTTTCAGAAGTCAACATGCATTTGGACATGTTTTCCCTCCTTTATGGAAAAAATATACATTATTAGGACCACACCTTTTACATTGTCAACCCCCTCCTTTTCCCACACTCAATAGAAGAGGAATCATTGTGATGAATTAGAAAATGGGTTTATACTTAACTGTGGGATTTGTTTAAAACAGACAACAATATGCTGTTGGCACTACTCTCTTATTGGAGATTAATTAATTCACTACATTTGTAGATTTTTATTAAAGGAGGCAATGGTTTAAGTTGACACTTTTTTAATTTTGTACAAAGTATTTGAGTAAACTATGTGTATATAAAATTTGGACGCTGTGTTAATAGGGTCTAGCTCAGTGAAAAAAGGCATTGATTTTCAGACCAAAGGTCTCAAGTTCGAACTCCCATGACATCATTTGTGCTTGTATGTAAAATCCCCCTCCCCTCCAAGTTAAACTATCGCTTGTACTTATAAAAATGAAAAAGAAGAATTTGGAGGCTGCAACTTTCGAACTTTTAGAAACCAATGCGGCTCACAGGTTACTATGTTTGTTTCTTTCCTTGGCAAAGCTGGAAGGCACATACAAAAGTCTAATCTACAGGGTGACATGAAGGGTTCTTAATGAACTTGAACACATACATGTTATGTATAAAGTGCAAAGCATTAATTATATTGCATATATAGGCAAGAAGCAGGTTCTCCTCTATTGACTAGACATTTAGGAATTGTGAACCAGACCATTTCTTTAAAGTAGAGCAACCTATACTCGTTTTTATATGTTTGTTAGGTAAGTTGATAACCATTTGTAGTAGGGACATTTATTCTTTTCTTTGTTAGAAGAGATTCTGAGTTATAATCTAATTTGTTTTACGGGCAATGATACTTCTTGTTATTGAGTGGCAGTACAAAACCGAAGAAAAAAAGAGAGGAACAAACAAGAATGCACACCAGCTAGAAGTGGTGATGCTCGTCGCCTTTAATTGGCGATGAGCAAATCTATCCTCTTTTTTATGTCCGTACCATCTAATATACGAGTCTTAACTTTTGTCGCTAGATGAAAAAAGCCCTTAGACTAATTCATTCATTCATATTGGTGAAGTAATGAATATAACAAGAAAAAAGGCTAACAATTAGCTCTTGATTTAGCTTTGTTTGCTTTCGAATATTATAAAATATCCTAAATTCGAATCTTTCATCTCTTCAATTGATATTTAAAATTAAGAATAAAAGGCTTATTAGATATGATGTGCAATAGGGATTGGAAAGGTTTTAATGTAACAAAAATAAAGGTAGGAGAGAGGTGCTTTACATCCAAAACAATCCAATTCGATCATTATGGCCATGGGGTCATCTTCCAGCCATATTACAATCCAAAAAAAAATGTTTACTTCTCAAATCAACCCATGGATAGCATCTTTTTATTTTTAATGTATAAATTAAAGTTACTTTTACGTACAAATTGAAATGATGCTGTAAAATTTCCATGATTCACATTTTATTTTTTTAGGATTTATTTATTTATTTATTTTATGCTTTTGCCATATAGCACTGTTTTTTAAGTGGATCCCAAAAATAGTAGACCAAGTTGATGAATAAATTATAGCAAATCTTAGATCCCCTTTCGAGGAAGAAAACACACTCAATGATATATAGCTTTCAAAATATGAGTTGATTCATAGAATCAACACGATCAGTAATATTCTTCTCATTATTATAGCAACAATGATGAGTGTTATCCAGAAAAGAAATACTAAATCTTCAAACAAACTTGATTATCAAGTGTTTTGGTGGCTGAGCCATCATCAAACACTCATTAAGGGTTTGATTTCTGAATATTGCTTGCCGTCCTTCTTGCAATCAATTTGACACATATAAAAAAATAATTCATAAAAGCACACACACAAAAAACTTATACACACATGTCACACTGTTATTGGCAGGAATGTACGAGCTCTTACTTACATGGTAATAAAAGTATTTTCTTTTGTGGATTATTGGTCTAATTAGTACTTTTCTTTTCAATATTTGAAGATATTCCAAGTTCAAATACCTCGTTTCCAAGTTATCGAAAATAGAGAGTGATCCTAACAACGCCCTCACCAACACTTTGACTTGTGTTACAATTTGGTGGCATGTTCAGTTGTTGCTACAATACTCAATTATGTTGTTGATACCTCACCAGCGATTGCATTTTGGACCTTTGCATTTGGCAGCAATGCTTTACCTTGGTAGTTACTCATAGTTAAGTCAATGTTTGATGTCCTTAATTATGGCTTCTTTTTTCTTTTCTTTTTTTTACTTCTGACAATTTATAATATACACTACCTGTCCATATATATAAATGTGTAATCGTCACACAGAGAAATTCATTATAATTCAGATCCTCTCAGATGTATAAATAAAAAATAAAAGCAGTATCTTCAAATCATATATATCGCTGTCAAAAATGAAAGAATGTTGGTTTGCGTACGTCCAAATTTTTTTTGTCATGCATTTGTCACTCCGTTGAGTCATTTTTCTGAGCAGAATAAATGCTAATTTGATTCTTTAATCATTATTGGTAAGATTGTGATGTGAGGCCTTT